TTTGAGTTGGAGTCTCACTCTGTCGCCCAGACTGGAGTGCAGTGACCGCTCCCAGCCACTGCAGCCTCGACCTGCTGGGCTCCAGCGATCCTTCCGCCTCAGCCTTCCAAGTAGCCGGAATTACAGGCATGCGCTACCACGCCCGGCTGATTTTTTGATTTATTGTAGAGATGAGGTCTTGCTGCCCAGGTGGGTCTCGAACCCGTGGGCTCAGGCAATCCACTCACCTCAGCCTCCCAAAGGCCGGGGATTACAGGCTGAGCCACCGAGCCCGGCTGGATGATTTTTTTTAAGTGGCAGGCACTCTGTTCAAGATGTCTGCAGGCAGGAGATTTTGGGTGATGCTTGGTTTTGTTTGTTAAACATGCCTCTGTGAAAGGCCTGATGTCTGGTTTCCAAGATCTCTATTCTGGGGGTCTTTGAAAAAGTATACTGTCTTTACAAGTGAACTCAAGTCATTTGTTCGCTCCTGTTTTAACTGATGAGTTCTTTCTCACAGCGGGATTATGACTCAGATGTAAGGCTAGCCCAGACCATCATTGGTATGGTGACAGATTGCGAAAGAGTGCTGCAGCCTTGCCCTTGAACACCAGCATGCCTGGATCCCAACAGAAACCTGCATCCCAGGACCTTCTCCATCCCCTCTTCTCTTACCTGGTGACCCATGCCTGGGTCTTGCATCCTGCTAACAGTGGCATGTAGGCATGTGTGCTCGCAGTGGGACTGGCAGACGTGGCTGGATGGGAGGGGGCTGCCCAGACAAGCTCCCACGATGAGGAGGAAAGGCTTCCACCACCCATTTCCAGCTCTGATGGACTTGCTGTGTGCTCAAAGCCTGTGTTTTCCTTGCTTCTGAGCAGACCTGGGTTGATGACAAGGAGCGTTTTCAAGGTCATGAGTCTGTAGGGCAAATCAGTGGCTGTGCAGGGTTTTTAATTGAGCAATAGATTCGCCGTGGAGTTACAGGCACTCTGAAATCTGCCTGAGAGCTGCTGTTGTTGGAGACACCAGAGTGATTCGGGCCCATCACTTAAAGGAGAAAGGTTGTTTTTTAAAATCTCTGCAGGAAACACATAACTACGACATCTTGTAGGCTTATCTAAACCTCCAGTCCAGGAGGAATTAGGGAATGTGTCTTTTTTTTATACTGCTCACTGCAGCTCGGTTAGGACAGTTCAGGCTTTGCCTGGAGGACCGCAGAGTTGCATATCTCTAAAGGCAAGATGCGGATTTAGTGCGGACGTGGGGTGGGGGGCAGGGTGCCTGCAAACCCAGAGGGGCCCAGATTTTCATTTTTAGAAATTCAGTTTCTACCAACTCACCCTTTATGCATCAAGCATTTCATAACATGCCTTGCCACGCACAGCACACACATATGGAGTCTCTCCCCTCTAGCGGGATGGTCTGTGGCAGAGTGAGGTCAGAGGGGCACCGGGCAAGACCGTCTTGTGAGACCTGCACGGCAGTGCATTCATGGAGGTCATGTCAGGGGACTTCTCACCTCATGAGCCCTGGCTCTGCTCAGGTTTCTTAGGGGTGCCCTGCGGAAGCACACTGCTGGACTGGATCCTCCATGGGCCGTGTCTCTCTACAGGGGAGGCCCAGGAATCTGTGCTGGCCTCTTGCCCTAGCGGGTCTGATGCCCGTTGGAGGTTCTGGCCTTGAGCTTGGCCAGCCAACCTGAGGCTGGACAGGACAAAAGCTGCTCAATCAGCCCCAGGGCATGACCCACCTGGGATGGCAGCTGAAAAAACCGCTTAATTAACCGGCACACGGGTGCAAGTAGGCCATTTGGGCCGTGCCAGTGCCAGCCATGGCGTATGTGACTACTGCCAGGTGTCAGCCTAGAAGGCTTGGATGTCAAGCGCTTTCACCAGAGCTACCTGGGATGGGTTATATAATTTTGAGCTGTTCCGGTTTTTTAAATTAAAAGATGTTTTTAGGCTCACTTTTAGCTATCTGTTCATAGTAAAATAAATTTTGAAAATAAGGTTAACAGAATGAAATAGAAATACTCCGTCACCCCACTGCCCAGAGATAACCGTTGCTAACATTTTCAGCATCCTCTCAGTTTTTTTTCTGTTAATACTTAATTTTGTTAAAGAGTCACCAGGAAGCATGAAGGGCACTGGGAAGGCTGAGGATGGAAGGGACAGGGTGTGAGGGAATCTGTGTCTCAAACCTGGTTCCTATTAGAGTCCCATCTGGTCATCTCCACCACTCATGTGTAAAAACTTCCCACTTGCCCTCATTCTCAGGATGTGTGCATTTATTTATTTATTTATTGAGTCAGCGTCTTACTCTGTCACCCAGGTTAGATTGCAGTGGCACGCTCATAGCCATCTCAGCCTCGACCTGTGATCCTTCTACCTCAGCCTCCCAAGTAGCCAGGACTGCAGGGGCATGCCACTACACCTGGCTGGTTGTTTTGATTTATTGTAGAGATGAGGTCTCACCAAGTTGCCCAGGCTGGTTTCGAACCCCTTGGCTCAGGCATTCCTCTCACCTCTGCCTCCCAAAGTGATGGGACTACAGGAGTGAGCCACCATGCCCGGCTATTCTCAGTATTTTAAAAAATTCCTGTGGCCAGGTGTGCATGTAAATTTCTTGTCTTATGAAGATGAGGTCTCACCAAGTTGCCCAGGCTGGTTTCGAACCCCTTGGCTCAGGCATTCCTCTCACCTCTGCCTCCCAAAGTGATGGGACTACAGGAGTGAGCCACCATGCCCGGCTATTCTCAGTATTTTAAAAAATTCCTGTGGCCAGGTGTGCATGTAAATTTCTTGTCTTATGATCCTCTGTAGAAGCAGTGCCCTCCCCGGGAGAGAGGTCATTGGGTTGTCCTCCCAGGATGCTTTTCGGGACTAATCAACTGCCTCTGGGGCCATAGAGACGTGCTCCTCAGGGTGGGTCTTACCCGTCTAGCAGCTCTTGCTGTGTGTCGCTGCGGGCCAGACTCTGAGCTGAGTGTCTGAGCACCCGGTGTCTGAGCACCGGGGTGTGGCTCCTGCCCTTGAGAACATATAGTCTGTTGGAGGAGACAAACCAGGCTCTCACATGCAGTGGCTGGTGCCCCTGTGTACATTGGGAATGAGGCACCCAACCCGCTTCAGAACACTGGGACTGCTTCAAAAAGGAGGCGATGCTTACACGGAGTCCAGGGTCAGTGCCTGCAGTCCCAGCGGGCAGCGCTCTCCTAGGGGACCTCGATGTCTTGTGCGATGTCCTACTTTCCAGCCCAACCAAACAGTTGCCCGTGATAATTAAATGGAACTTGCCAGATGGATGCTTTCGCGAGGCGGTGGCTTGTCTTCTTGCTCTATTTGTGAGAGCTGGCATGGCACCCAGACTCTTGAGATGGCCCCCTCTTCGCGACTGCACGGAGTCAACTCTGTGTGTGTGTCATGGCCAAGCGGCCGGGCCGGCAGCAGGGCCGGGCCAGGTGGCAGGTGGGTGTGTCACGCATGCGGACACTTGAGCCTGGCCAGCTCGTGTGCCTCCAAGGTGAGGGCGAGAGGTTGTTCTGCAGAGATGTCACTGATCGGTGTCACCTTCTCGGGGTGGTCACCTTCAGAGCCTCTGATAGTCTGTCTGTCCCTCTCACTGTGTCTGTCTTCCCTGCTGGTTGCAGCCTCTTTTGTGTTTGTCGAAATACATGTGACCAGGCTGTCTTAAAGAAGCGGTTTTTAGATCACTAATGAGAATATCCAAAGCAGCAAATACAATTAATTTAATCTCCAGTGGCCTTGACTAGCCAAGGAAGGTGGGTCTTCTCATTAAGAAAGATTAACTGAATCAGTAATAATAATTAAGAGTAAGTATATTGTTTCATTTCTGTGATTCACTCTGGGCTCTTGGGCTGTGCCATCTCATGTAAGTGTCTCAACACAGGTGCTGTTATTCTCATTTCAGATGAGAGTAAACAAAAATGTAGAGATTTAGAGATGACTCAAGGTCAGAGGACAATCATACAAGGTCTGATGTTCCATGTGTCCACTCTGTATGTGGTCCCTGTAGTTCTGTTCTCAGAGTTGACACAGTTGATATGGTGGTCACCGAGTGGGCAAGTGTGTCACTGTCTCTGCCATCAAGACATCCACTGTAGCTCACTGTTCCCAAAGGGCCGGAATCCCTCGGGAAGATTGCCGTGAGAACAGCTGAACACAAGGTCATCTTTTCACTCACTGCAGAAGTAATTTCAAAGATTTGAAGTTCTTGAGTATTAGTTGATGATTGCAGTTACACAGAAATGCCAAGTTCGAGCATTTCCACTGATACAGTGTACTGTTTGGTGATTATATTCAGGTTCTGATATATATACAAATACATTCTCGGGTTGGTTTTCTCTTCTTGTTTTCTGTCAGGATTTTGCATTTGAAATAAAGACTTGGAGTTGAAAACCTGTGTTATTTCACTCGTGTCTCAACCTCCCTGTAGATGGGGAACTCACTGTTTATCACCACCCTGTCTAACCCCCCAAAGGGAGACCATTGCAGGAAGACAGAGAGACAGACAGACAGAGAGAATAAGAGAGAGGGAGGGAGGGGGAGAAAGAGAAAGGAGAGAGTCAGAGAGAGATGGGAGACGCTTTTCCTGTGGCAACTCCTAGCTTCATCCATCCCAGTCACTTGAAATCCCATTGGCAGAAACCCTTTGCACCGGATTCCCACCTGTGGAACATTCTGGACTCCCAGAGTCTTTCAGATCCCTCCTCCTCGCTGAAGCAGAAGTCTTGTTGGTGGCCTTGTGACCTCTGCCCTAGTTATCCCAGAACAGAGTTCTGAAGACCCTGCGTCTGTGGGTGATTGGGCAGCTGTGGCTGTGAAGACCTCTCTGGTCCTGACATGCGCCCCCAAGCCCTCCCCTCCCTGGGCTAGGTTCTTCCCTCTGAACATGTCCCTGGGCTCCGGCCACCTCCAGAAGGTTCTAAGGATCCAGGGGTGTGGGTGGCCTCTTGCTACAGTCTTGGCATCTGATGGGGCCACTTTCTTTTCCTGCAGCAAAACCCGAAATCCTGACGTATGACCGACTGGTAAACGGCACACTGCAGTGTGTGGCAGCAGGCTTTCCGGAGCCTGTGATCGACTGGTACTTTTGTCCAGGAGCTGAGCAGAGGTGAGCTGATTGTTTCTGGCATTGCTTAAAATACAGAAGGAGGCCAGGTTCGGTGGTTCAACCTGTAATCCCAGCACTTTGCGAGGCCACGGTGAGTGGATTGCCTGAGCCTGCGGGTTCGAGACCCGCCTGGGCAACTTGGCGAGACCTCATCTCTACAATAAATCAAAAATTAGCCGGGCATGGTAGCATGCGCTTGTAGTTCTAGCTACTTGGAAGGCTGAGGCGGAAGGATTGCCGGAGTCCAGCAGGTCGAGGCTGCGGTGGCCGAGAGCGGCCACTGCACTCCAGTCTGGGTGACAGAGTGAGACTCCAACTCAAAAAAAAAAAAAAAAAAAAAAATACAGAAGGAAAGATTGCAAACCCGTCGAATGTCAAGTGTGTTTTCTGATTTTTTTTAAAAGAGCTTTGTTTTGATTATATATTTTTTCCTAGCCATGTGGCTCTTTAGAGGGGATAATTGCTGTATTTTTCTTGGTAGACATTAATTTTGTTTGCTGAAAAACGATTGCTGAATGACTTCTCTGTTTTGTTGGTTATCTTGCTGGTTTTATCATGCAATTTCTAGCCTGCAGGTAGATAAGGCAATTTTGCAGGACAGAGTAATTAGGTTTCCATTCTCTGCACAGGAGGGAACGTGTGTGGGAACTATGGCAGTAGTTAGCACAAAAAAATTACCTCGCCAGTTAATTGCCAAGTTACCAAAAAGTAACAACCACACAGTACCCATACACACAGGGTGTCTACGGGTGTGGGGCGTGCGAGTTCTCCCTGATTAGTGCCCAGCCCGAAGCAGGGACATCTTACACCGGTGACTTCACGCTCAGCCTGGTTGAAGTTCACCTGTTTAACATCCCTGCAGAACACCAGGTGTTTGGGGTTGGGACATTCTTCAGCACAGCAGAAGGAGTTGCAACTCACTCCTCACCAGGCTGATGGCTGCAAAGGGAATGCTGGGCCCTGGGACCCCCACCTGCTGGACAGGCGAGCCTCGCCCTATGCCCTTGTCTGTCTTCCTGAGCCGGCCATCCCCCAACAGGTGCTCCATCTCAGTGCTACCTATGGACGTGCGCGCACACAACGCAGCAGGGCCACCATTCGGGAAGCTGGTGGTCCAGAGTTCTGTGGACTCCAGCGCATTCCGGCACAATGGCACGGTGGAGTGTATGGCCTACAACAGTGTGGGCAGGACCTCTGCCTACTTTAACTTTGCATTTAAAGGTAACAACAAAGGTATATTCCTCTTTAATCTGATTTTAGGGGATGCTTGGGCGCTGTCCGCTGTGTCACTCATGACCAGTCCATCCCAGCATGGCCATGTCATTTCTGGTAATGCTCACCTTGTGTCTGTCGTCACCCTCCTTTCATTACATGCTCGTGTGTCAATGAAGCTTGTGCTCTCACCAGAGTGGTCTCAGCCACCCACATCACGGAGGTTCTGCATGTGTGTGTCTCTTTCTACCTCTGTACACATAAACTGTAAGCGTACAATCGTCTCCATTGAGAAGGTATAGAGATGGCTCATAGGGCAACCTGTTTACCTTGTAGTCAGACAAAATTGGAACAACTTTTTTAAATTTTACTTATTTGAAATGAGTTATTTTAACACCTGGCCAGATAGCTGTGTTGGAACATCGACACTGTCTTGAAGTCATGTTGGTGAGTCATTTCTTTAAAGTCCTCGAGACTTGATTCAGGTGTGACAGTGTCCTCAGAGAGCTAAAGAATCGTTGGGCCTCCATGACAAGTTGGCGTGACGTGAGAAGACAGAGCCAGGGGCTCCTGGACTCAGGGTGGCTTCTGCTTTTCTGAGTTGGCAAAGCTGCCTGTCAGGGAGGGCTACTCCCAGTTCTGAGTACTGAGGAAGAGTCTTACACTGTTCTATATCATCAGCTTTGCAGACCAGACAGTGAAAAGAATGCGGCAGAACATCTTCCTGGGCTGGAGACGTTCACATGCTGTCTAAGGAAGTCTGGAAGCCACTGGCGAGGTTCTCAGGGAAAGCAGGAAAGAGGACAGGGCTGTCCACAGAGGAGCTTTGTAACGTTGTGTGTGGTTGTGTGTGGCAGGAGTTCGACTGAGGGCAGGGCTCCGTCAGATATTGCTTTGCATTGAAAAACAGCAGAAATTATCATTGAGCTACAGAAATCCTCCCCTGAGTTCCCCAGTATCCTGGGTTAAGTGTGTTTTTAAAGGTGTATTTGCATAACAAGAGCCCGAGGTTGCCAGTTGAGGGTCTGAGCCTCCTAGCCCTGGGGGAGAAGCATGCGGCCAGCCCTGCCCTGCCCCCCTGTGAGTCCTGTCTCTGCCCTTTTAGAACAAATCCAGCCCCACACGCTGTTCACACCCCTGCTCATCGGCTTCGTCCTGGTGGCCGGCATGATGTGCGTCCTGGTTTTGATCCTGACCTACAAGTATCTCCAGGTAACTGCGCTGCTTCCCCACGTGCTCCGACGGGGAGACACTGATCGCCACGTTGACCATCTCCCTTCCTCCCACAGAAGCCCATGTACGAGGTGCAGTGGAAGGTCGTGGAGGAAATCAACGGCAACAATTATGTGTATATTGACCCAACACAGCTTCCCTATGACCATAAGTGGGAGTTCCCCAGGAACAGGCTGAGTTTCGGTCAGTGCACCCGGGCTTCCCATGCGCCCTGTGTGTGCACGGTGGGGCCCACGTCCTGCATTTTGTTCCACCTGGAACAATGAACATTTTCTGTGATGATCCCTCCCCTTCACGGGCTTGGTTCTCTCATTTCGTAGAGAACACCTGAGCCCTCTCCAGACAGATGCGTCTGTTCTTCTTTATCAGTTTTGAAGAACTCAGGCCCTCCTTCTGCCATCACCGCCACTCACCTGCGGTCTTCCTCCCTACAGGGAAGACCCTGGGTGCCGGTGCCTTCGGGAAGGTTGTGGAGGCCACTGCTTATGGCCTGATCAAGTCGGATGCGGCCATGACCGTAGCTGTGAAGATGCTCAAACGTGAGTTCCTGGGGGTGGGTGCCCAAGCCATCGGCCTGCCACATTTATTTCTTGCTAAAATAAAATGTTTCTAATTGTAGCCAGCGCCCATCTAACGGAGCGGGAGGCCCTAATGTCTGAACTGAAGGTCCTGAGTTACCTTGGCAATCACATGAATATCGTGAATCTCCTTGGGGCGTGCACTGTTGGTGGTAAGCCGAGGCCGAGTGGTGTGTGTCCCCTGCTGCATTGTCAGAAGCTGACATGGAGTATGATTCTGCCGTGCATGATGATAAACTGTGTGGGGTTTACCCAGATCATTGTTCTCTCTCACTAGGTTTTATTTTCCTTGTTCTTAAGAATGGAAATTTTCCATCTTCTCATTGTGGGTGGAACACAGGACATGCTAGTTGCTGTCACGTATGTCACACCATCAACATGGATCTCTTGAGTGTCTCATCTCGCCTGAAAGACTTTTCTTGTCTTGCAGGCTGTAGATATTGCTGGGTCATGTTTAGCCACTCAAAGGGTTCATGTTCGTTTGCATACTATAATTTAAACTGGGAAGCCTACAAGTTCTCAAATACACCCCAAATGAGGCAAACATGTCACTTCTGTACACGTGAGTTTCCAATTCTGAAGCCTTAGTCGAGGCTCCCGTCAGGGGTGTCTGTGATGTTCGCAGAAGAATTCTGGTCTAAAGGCACAAAGATGTGTTGCATGAGCTGCTCCTGATATCTGGGGGTCCTGGTACATTGACAGCTTTGTGTAATGTCTTCAACAACCCCTGAAAATGTTGCTTCACCGCATCATGAATTGTTCATGAGAAAATTTCCACCGACTTAATTAGTTCCTGTGACTTGAGCTGCAGTCTTGAGCATTCACAGCACCACAGCATTGCCCCAAACACAGGCCATCTCAGGTTTGCGCCTATCTCTGGTCTCGTCTCAGCTGGCTATTGGTGTGGCTGTCCCTCCTGTATACTCAGCATTTTTAATAATGTTTCGGAGAGTGTGTGCCCAAGCTGTAAAGGTATCAGAGGGTCCATGCGGGAAGCATGGTGATGGGAGCACCCATGCAGCACCTAGGGCAGTCGCCTGCCCCAGGCGCTGATGCCACGAGGAAGCTCAGGCAAGAGTGACTGCTGGTTCCATGTCACCCACACCGTGCTGCTCTTGTCCTGGGCAGTGTGGATGAGCAGGATGGTGGGGACCAGGCGGGCCACTCACTGAGAATGACCACCAGCAGCCATGACACCCTTGGGTATCTTAGAGGATGCAGGACTATCTCCACAGCTCACCTCTCCAACCTGCTCTCATCTGCTTGTAGGGCCCACCCTGGTCATTACGGAGTATTGTTGCTATGGTGATCTACTGAATTTTTTGAGAAGAAAACGTGATTTGTTTATTTGCTCCAAGCAGGAAGATCAGGCAGAAGCAGCCCTGTATAAGAACCTTCTGCATTCAAAGGAACCCTCCTGGTAAGGCTGATTTGCATGAACAGTCGGCTGTTGACAGGCAGTTTGTGGGGTCATAAGGGTTTGCAATCAAGGCTGATTCTTTAAAATGTGAGCGAGGTGCGAAATGACGACGATTAAACCATTTAAATGTGATTAACCGTTCAGAAAGTTTAAGTAGTGATTTTGAAGATTCAAACTGTGTTGAACTTAGATTTTTGCTGTTTTTTAAAAATTCCCAGACTCTGCTCACCTTTAGTTTTCTTCTACGCTTCAGATCTGTGTGACTTTGTGGGTTCCGTGTGTGTCTGTCTGGTTCTGTCTTGTGTATTTCCCTTTATGTGGCTGAGCATGGCTGGTTCCGTGACAGGGCAGGTAGGTACTCAGGTCTGCCAGGGTGTCCAGAGAAGTCCTGTAGATCTGAGCGGGATGGCCATGTACTCTAAGCGTGACTCCGCCTCTGGGCTTCTTGCCAATCCCCTCTGACTTATTTCTGTACACCTTGGCTCCAGCATTTAACTCATCCCATCACTGCTCCCTCTGTCACATCTCACACAGTTCTGGACCTGGTTTTCAACTCAATCTTCATTGGTCCCGTTTGGAATTTGAATGAGGTATCAGGAGCATCTAGTTCCTTGGGGGAGGAATAGTCTGATTTACACCAGCACAGAATTCCTCTCCACCACACCTCGCCTGTTCTTTCCTTCGAATGCCAAGAGCCACCATGAGGATGACCTCCCAGATCCACCTGCCTACAGAACGCGCAGCTCTCTTGTGCGTGCCTGGACCTCATGGCTGCAGCTGTGTAGGGATTAATCAGTGTCCTCTTTAAGTCACTCCATGTCCCCTGCATTTCGAGGTGGCGAGAACTACCTCCTGCTCTCTTTGGGGGACTAAGCCCTTGGGGCACCTCAATCCATACTGCTGGTAGGCAGTGGCTTCTTAAAGCCATCTGTTCCTCTGGCTAAAGTTTGGAACTCCAGGTGAAGTTTTGATTTTTTTAACCCTAAACCTCTAGTCGTGCGGAGTGGTGGTAAGATGTCCTGTGGACCATCCTTTGTTGATTTCCCTGAGCACACGTTCTTTAGTGGGGACAATGAGCCCCCATGCCTTCTGTCTAGAACCTTGGCCCTATATTTATCCTTCAACTTCTGAAAGAATGGCCTGAGCTGTTCAGGCCTGTGTGACATTCTTTGTGCCTCGGGATCCCATATGGGACTGGAACCACCAGCACACTCTGAAGGAGATTGTTGTCATGGTGTTTCTATGCTAATCAGAGGCAGGAAGTACTAGAAATCTTGAAGAGTCTCCAGCCAAATGTTGCAGCTTTGAGAGGTCCAGATGGTTCAGAAAATCATCCAAATTATTGGTGTTTATCTGAACCAAGTTGGTTTTTAAGCCTCCTTTCCTCAGTTGCTGTGCTGATGAGCCCTGCCCCCCACAGCACGTCCTGGAAATCCTTGCTCCTTGTCCTTCTGTCCTTCTGTCCTCCTGTCTCCCTGACCCCAGTGCTGATCTGCAAGCCAGGGAGGGTAGTTTCCATTTCCAGTGAAACCCATCGAAAGACAGGACATTGTGACCTGAGTTGCCCTGTGATTGAATGCACAAGGAACACCTGACTCCCAGGATGGGCTTGGTGTTGAGTGCAAAAAGCTCATGGCTCAGAACAAGATTCCAGACTCTGCTCACTCTCTACTACCCTCCTCCAAATAAGATGAGTCTGTCACGTGACGGGGATGAGGAGAGAGCCGCCAGGACCCGGGGCTCCAAGCTCAATGTGACAATGCTGTTCTATTTCCCCACAGTGACAGCACCAATGAGTACATGGACATGAAGCCTGGTGTCTCCTATGTTGTCCCAACCAAGGCTGACAGAAGGAGGTCCGCAAGAGTAGGTAGGTGCCCTCTGAGCCATGACCCTGGCCACCTTACGGGCTGTATCTATACTGTCCCACCAAGTGGTGACTTCAGCTCCCTTATGGGGCTGCGTCTATGCTATCCCACTAAGTGATGACCCCCCCATCCTTATAGGCTGCATCTACACTGTCCCACTGAGTGGTGACTCCAGCTCCCTTATGATGCTGAGTCTATGCTGTCCCACTGAGCAGTGAACACGGTTCCCTTATGGGGCTGCATCTATACTGTCCTATTAAGCGATGAACGTGAGTCCTTTATGGAGCTGCGTCTACACTGTCCCCACATAGCGGTGAACACGGCTCCCTTGTGGGGCTGTGTCTATACTGTTCCACTGAGCATGAACACAGGTCCTTTATAGAGCTGCATCTATGCTGTCCCCACAGAGCTGTGAGTATAGCTCCCTTATGGAGCTGCGTTTACACTGCCCCATTTAGCATGAACAGAGATGCTTTACAGAGCCATGAATCTGCTGTCCCCATAAAGCAATGAACACGGCTCCCTTGTGGGTCTGTGTCTACACTGCTGCGGATAGCATTGCTCCCATTGGGTGGGATTCTCTGTTATTCCACTGTCCCTCCCTCCGGGATTCCATCATGTGTCAGGGGTCTGCTGATGGTAATGTGTGACTGGACCCCAGCCTCTCCTGTGAGCTCACACTCATCTGCTCATCACCAGCCTCTGGCCTGGTCACAGCATGACCCCTCCCTCTCTTCCCATCCTGGAAGGTCCTCCTCTCTCCCCACAGGCTCATATGTGGAGAGGGACGTGGCCCCTGCCGTCATGGAGGATGACGAGCTGGCCTTGGATCTGGAGGACCTGCTGAGCTTCTCATACCAGGTGGCCAAGGGCATGGCGTTCCTCGCCTCCAAGAATGTGAGTGGGTGGCACACGCACCTCTTCTCCGGCTGGGGCCTTCTAGAGCGGTGTGAGGAGGCACAGTGTCGCCTAAGTGTGGAAACCACACATGTGGAGACTTAGCTTCTCATGTTCCGACTGCCATCTCCTTGGAATTCCTGTTCTAATTCATGAGATTTAATGTGCCAGCCTGCCTCACTGAGCTTCCCACGAACACTCCTTTATATGCGTGAATTTGAGAGCTGCTGGCTCTCAGAATATAGTATGCATGCCTAGAAAGTAGACAGTCATCTGGCCAGCCAGAGTGGGAAGCTCATGTCGTCGTGCTTGGTGAAACGTGCACTTGGTTTCATTGAAGGTCGACCCCACGTATTGCGTGCACTGCTTGTGAAGCATCAGGAAAGGGGGGGTCGGAGGGAAAAGAAACACTTGGGGAGAAGGCAGAAATGGGAGAGGAGGATGGAACCCAGCAAGGAACGTAGTCTGTGGACGGTGCAAGGAACTCCTGGGATGAGGGCTGAGCCAGACAGCACAAGGTGCAGAGCCTGCCCTGAGACGTCCACAGGGACATCTGCAACCATTGCCAGGCCAGAGAGGACACACAGTGGCTGAAATCAGGCCCGTCTTCCTGTATCCTAGGGAGGGGGCAGGTTGAAATTCAAGGCACTTGGAGAACTCTGTGAAAAGGCATTCAAAGAGGCACATGTAGCATGAATTTTGTTTGAAAAATGTGCTGTGACTATTTCTTTTCTCTCTCTTTTTTTTTTTTGAGTCCAAGTCTTACTCTGTCACCCAGGCAGGAGTGCAGTGGCACGTTCACGGCCACTGCAGCCTCAACCTGTTGGGCTCAGGCGATCCTTCCGCCTCGGCCTTCCGAGTGGCTAGAATCACTGGCACGCGCCACCATGCCCAGCTCATTTTTTTGTTTATTATAGAGATGAGTTCTCACCGAGTTGCCCAGGCTGGTCTCAAACCCCTGGATTCAGGCAATCCTCTTGCCTCCACCTCCCAAAGTGCTGGGATTACAGGCGTGAGCCACCACACCCAGCTTGATGTGACTATTTCTAACTTATTTTCCTATGAATGAAAACAGCCCCGAGAAGAAAAAGACATTTATTATAATTGATTTTGAAAGTGATTATAGTAATTAGTGTCCTGATTATGTGAACATCGTTCAAAGTGTAATACTAATTTTTATTTTTGTCATTCCAAATACTTTAATGTAAAACAAAACCATTGGGTTTTTATATTATAAGCAGCATCCGAGTATTAAAGAAGTAGTTTTCTCTCCTTAAAAGTTAAAACGAACGTAAATGGTTTTCTTTTCTCCCCTGACCTGAAGTGCATTCACAGAGACTTGGCAGCCAGGAACATCCTCCTGACTCATGGTCGAATCACGAAGATCTGCGACTTTGGTCTAGCTAGAGACATCAAGAATGATTCCAATTACGTGGTTAAAGGAAACGTGAGTACCCATTCTTGCTTGACCATCCTGCAAAGGGTTTTTGGCTTCAAGTTTTGATAAAAATGTGTTTTCTGTGATTTTCGTAATTCAAATTGTATCTTGAGAGAGCATACTTTTTAGCCATCAAATTAAATATACTTCAGCAGGATTTGCATGGCGTGCTGGCCATGACGGCATCTAAACAGTAATCGCAGTCTGCATTCTAACTGTGTGATTACAGGACACATGAAGGGAACAGAAATAGCCTTAATTTTCATTGTAGCCTGAGAATAGCAATGAACTTGACTTTGCTCAAGTGTAACAAATGTAGACCTGAAGGTCACAGTAGAACTTTTTTGAGATTGACATACCATGTGAAAAAGATTAAACTCTTAAGTTGACGTGCAGAGCTAGCTGTGTGGAACGTTGGCTCTCACTGGAGCTACTAAGGACATTTATAAGTGACCACTGGCCACTGGTGATTTTTTTGAGCACTTTATTTCATTGCCAATTTTTAGTGTATCCTCGAAACAAACCCATGCCCTTGAGCGCAGCATCTTCCTCATGTAAAAGCTGGGGAAACCAAGGCATGGTGTATTTGAGTGGTTTTTATCTGAGATGACCTAGCTGGGGCCGCTGAGCCTAAGCCATGATCTTCAGTGTGCAGGATGGCTGATTCCAGAGCACCTTTCTCTGACATGGAACTCATGCTACCTTTCAGTCTCATCCCGCTGTCCAGAGTGATGGTGTCCCCTGTGATGCAGTGGCAGGCCCTTGCTCATCACAGAGGCAATGGGTTGGGAGGCTACCCTCACCGGGCTTTGAGAGAGTGTTGCGGTTTTACCTTCTGATCACACATTCGCCTCTGAAACTCTCCCAGGCCGGAGGTCATCATGGGGTGGAAATAAAAACCAGCTTCCCCAGCCCCAGGCAGATTTGGATGAAGAATGAGAAGGGGCTTACTACCAGGTCTCTGAACGTTGACAGAGGGCAGGAAGTGGGTTGCAGCCTCTGGGCTGACTCTAGTGTGCCTCCATTATTTGGTGACTTTGTAAGATTGCTAAGCGCTGTCCAGAACTTCCGAGTCTTGTTTCTTTCACCTCTTGGAAACAATGGCAGTGCCTGTCCCTAGAGTGACTGTGAGGATTAAGTGAGTTAATGTGTGTCAAGTGCTTAGAGCTGTACTGGGCATGCTCCTCCGCTCTTCATAGGTGTTACTTGAAGTCCAGTCGTGCTACAGCATGCCGTGGCTGATTAGTGACCTTAGCTGGATGTGACAGGGAGAGTCGGCTCCTGCCCTGGCTTCTAGATCAGAGATGCCAACTCCCAGCTCAGTTAGCTGAACCAACCAAGCACAGATGGCGCTTTCACCAGGCTGATGGTTAGGAGAATTTAGGGAGCACGTTGAGAGGAAGCCCACACGTGTTACTGCCCCATGATTCAGGTTGTAGCGGTTTGAAGTTGTCCTGTGTCGGGGTCTCTGGAAGTCCTTGCATTTTGCATGAGATCTTGGGCGTTTTATGCCATGGCTCCTTACAGAGCCTGGTGAAGCCTCAGAGCCCTGGTCTGAAGTCCTTTCCATGCCCTAGCTAAACCACAGAGGATGACCAAGAAAAGCAGTTAAATTGAAGAGTTATCAGAATAATGAGTTTGTGATATGTCAAGATGTGTGTTTATTACGCAGCGAGAGGTCCTCGCTGTGCTTGTGAAAACTCCTGTGATTCCACTTCAGTGATGAGTTTACATGTTGGCGTGGAGACATTGGACACCTCAGTGGGGTGTTGGTGTCTGTTATGCCTGTGGATGACAATGTCACAGGCCCAGCTGAGACCACTGTGGTGGATTGTCTCTATTTGTAAGTCACTGAAGTGCTAAACTTCATTCAGAAGTTGGTGACAATACAGATGTTCACGGGCCTGAATTCAGGACACTGTGGGTCTCAGGTTATGAGCGGGGCTTGGGCACAAAATCTGGGAAGAGCTAGTGGAAGCTTTAAAAAAAAAAAAACTAAAATGACTAAGACCAGAAAAAAAATATTTTTCCTGTTTTCATTCCTAAATGGTTTAAGAGAAGGGTTGATTTAGCTTCTTATGGAGTTCTTATGGAGTGTGTCTGAGGAGCACAGTCACGGAAGTCGGCTCCATGCTCTGGAGGGTCAGGATGACGCATTCGGCTGTTGGGCTTGGGTCCTGAATGACATGCAGCCAAGGGTTGGTTGTCGCCATGCGCTGTGGACTGAGTGCTTTTCTTGGTTCTAGGTGGTTTTCGCAGATGCTGGCACCTCAGGCAGTGCTGAGATTTTTACCTGCATTTTCTCGTTTAACTCCTAGAACAGCTCATTAATTTGGAAGAAGATACTGAGACTTAGTTGCAGATATTTTAGGTGACTTTCCCAGGGTGTTGGTGAGGGGTAGTTTTGGTTACTATGACAGAAAACCAAGGGTAAAGGTTGAAGAGTGAAAGAGCTGAGGGGTCGCAGGCCGCATGGTGTCACGGTTCCCTGATGCACTCAGGACCAAGCCCTTCCTTCTCCCACCATGCCATTCCTGGGTGTGCCCTCTTCTTCACAGTGCAGGGTGACCCCAGAGAGAGAAGGCAGGACAGGGGCACTGAGGCAAAGGACACATGGCTGCTGGGTTTCAAGGAGACCAAGGCTGAGTCACATGACTGTAGCCAGCTGCAAAGGAAGCTGGGAAGGGGGTCCTAGCTGTAGGGCATGTCTGGCTGCCCCTGACAGCTAAATTCAACTGCAGTGCTGAACTGCCCTGATGCTCCCATCTTTGAGGGGGTGATGTGGTTGTGAGCCCCTACCCCAGAGACATGAGGTCACAGAGGCCACACAGGTGATAGTCCCTTTAAGCTTCTACTTCAGAGATGTGAGGTCACTGAAATCACAGGTGACAGTCCCTATAAGCCCCTACTTCAGAGGCGTGAGGTCACCCACGTCACACAGGGGATGTTCCCTGTGAGCTCCTATTTGAAAGGTGTGAGGTCACTGAGGTCACAGGTGATGGTCTCTGAGCTCCTACTTCAGAAGCGTAAGGTCACCGAGGTCACAAGTGATGGTCCCTGTGAGCCCCTATTCCAGAGACGTGGTGATGAGGTCACCGTGAGGTCACTCAGGTCACAGGTGATGGTCTCTGTGAGCCCCTACTTCAGAGGCGTGAGGTCACTGAGGTTGCACAGGAGATGGTCTTTAAACCCCTACTCCAGAGATGTGGGGTCACCCAGATCACAGGTGACAGTCTGAGCCCCTACTCCAGAGGTGTGGGGTTACCAAGGTCACACAAGGGATGGTCATTGAGCTCCTCCTCCAGAGGCGTGAGATCATCGAGGTCACAGGTGGCAGTCTGTGGGTTGGTGCATGCTCTCACCCACCTTGCAGCAGGAGCCACCCCTGCAGGCCCATTTTCCATCCCGTTGTGGGACCTGGTCGTGAGTGTGGCTGACTCCGCTGTGCCTCTCTGACAGGCCCGACTCCCTGTGAAGTGGATGGCGCCTGAGAGCATCTTCAACTGCGTGTACACGTTTGAGAGTGATGTCTGGTCCTACGGCATCTTTCTGTGGGAGCTGTTCTCTCTAGGTAAAGTGACTTGTGAAAAGGCTCCTTCGTGGCGCCACCTGCCCACCCGCCCACGCTGAGCCTGACGTGCCACCTGTCTGTCCCCAGGAAGCAGTCCCTACCCCGGCATGCCTGTGGACTCCAAGTTCTACCGGATGATCAAGGAGGGCTTCCGCATGCTCAGCCCGGAGCACGCACCAGCCGACATGTAAGCCTGGGATCACGGGCCATGCTTTCCCTGTCTTCCTCCTGGAGGCAGAGAGACTTCCACCGCAGTGTCACTGGGCTCCTTTTAATGACACACTGGCCATAGTTTGTTTTCATAGCCTGTTGTCTCCAAATCCTCAGCAAGTGTCACTCGCCTCCATGTGTGTGTTTTGTTGCATGCATCTGTCCGTCCACATGCCAGTTGCCTGGCCTGGACTACAGCAGCCATTGTCTTGTGGTACACAACACAATGGGTCATGGCACTAGGAAGGGGTGGTGAATGGCCCTTGCTTTGCAGGTATGATGTCATGAGAACCTGCTGGGACGCCGACCCCCTCAAGAGGCCGACATTCAAGCAGATCGTCCAGCTCATTGAGAAGCAGATTTCAGAGAGTACGAACCATGTGAGTACCCTCAACCGGGCATGCGGTGCTCTCTCTCAGAGTTCCAGGTTTGTCCTTCTCAGGCCTCCAGGTGAGGCCTGAGCTCCCTGTCCCCTTTCCTAGGCTCAAGCTGTAAACTGGGCTCCAGGGAGGGGCAGTAAAGCAGTGGAAACCAGTTCTTTCCACCCAGCCCCCCTTCTGAGCCCAAGGAGGGGTAGAGGGAGGGGAGGGGAGGAGCAGAGGGAAGGAAGGAGGAGAGGGGAGGGAAGGCAGGAGGGGAAGGGTGGGGGGATGGATG